AATTTTTAATGACAAATGCAATGATTTCAGGTTCAAAGTTGGGTGTGCAATATGATCAGTAATAAGATATTTCAAGTTTAGAAAGATAAGCTTTTCGAGACATAAAGGGCAGTTGATTCAAAAGTATTTCAAAAATCAAATATCAATTCTCTAAATAATGAACATTTGGACGACTTCGACCTACTCGGACCAGGTTTTTTTCCAAAAATTCGTTACATTTGTGATCTTGTTACTTGTGAATTCATATGACCAATCTTTGCCCCATATCTGTGACTAATGAGAACTTGCCCCCTAAAATCACATCTTTAATTTTGGTGATAATTCGTCTATTCAATGCCACTTCTTTGTTCTCTGAAAAAAACTTTCTCCAAGTTTCATCTTCATTCAAGCCGTCTGCACAGGTTTTTAGCTTATATGACCCCCTTTTTGACTCAAACCGCCCTTTTCAGGTTTTCAATCTGAATCACTTCCTTTCTCATTTTTTTTTTCATTTTTTTTCATTTTTTTTTATTTTTTTGATTTTTTTGATTTTTGATTTTTTTACTTTTTTTTTAAGCAAAATATTTCTTGACAATGTTTGAATTTACAGGACTTGGCAATTCATCTCCGTCCATTTTTGTAAGGATCAGAGCCCCACCAGAAAAAACCTTTTTTATCACATATGGACCTTCCCAGTTGGGCGTCCATTTTCCTCTATTGTCATGCTGATATGGCAAAATCTTTTTCAACACCAATTCGCCCTCACGAAAGCATCGAGGTCGTATCTTTTTGTCATGTGCTCGTATAATTCTTCTTTGATACATTTGTCCATAACTGAGTGCTGAGAGCCTTTTTTCTTCAATAAGATTCAGCTGCTCAAAACCATCTTGAACCCATTCTGCCTCATCCAATTTTGTCTCCATCAACACCCTCAGAGAAGGGATTCCTACTTCAATTGGCAGTACAGCTTCCATCCCATATACTAGTGAAAATGGGGTGGATCCGGTGAAGGTTCGGATTGATGTTCTATAGGCAAGCAGAGCAAAAGGTAACTTTTCATGCCAATCCTTATATGTGTCAGTCATTTTCCCCAATATTCTCTTGACGTTCTTATTCGCAGCTTCCACTGCACCATTAATTTTTGGACGATATGGTGCTGAATGATGATGCTTAATCTTAAACTGTGCACACAATTCTTTCATCATTTTATTGTTTAAATTGCTAGCATTATCTGAGATAATCTTTTTCGGGAGACCATATCGACATATTATCTCTCTTTTTATAAATTTACACACTACTGATCGCGTAATACTAGCATACGAAACTGCTTCCACCCATTTTGTAAAATAATCGATTGCCACAAAGATAAATCGATGTCCATTTGAAGCTTTAGGGGTTATGGGTCCGATTACATCCATTCCCCACATGGAGAAAGGCCATGGTGGTGCCAAGACGTGCAATGGGACTAGAAGGGAATGAATTTTATCTGCATAAATTTGACATTTGTGGCACTTTCTAGCATAACCAATGCAATCATTTTCCATTGTAGACCAGTAATAACCAGCTTTCATGATCTGTTTGGCCATCATATGCCCATTAGCATGTGTTCCACAAATCCCTTCATGTACTTCTTCAAGTATCATTCTTGTTTCCACTGCATCGACGCACCTTAGCAAAATCTGATATCGATTTTTTTTATACAGGATTTTTCCATCAAGCACAAAACCTGCTGCTAATCTTCTAATGATCCTCTTATCATTTTTTGAAGCCTGCTCTGGGTAGCTTTGACGCTTGATATACTGTACAATGTCATAGTACCATGGTTGTCGATCCACCTCTTCTTCCATATTTGAACAGTGAGCTGGTGAAACTTTCATTTGTACTCTAATAGGTTGGATTCCCACACCATTATTTAACTTAAACATCGCTGCTAAAGTGACCAAGGCATCAACAATCTGGTTTTCTTCTCGAGAAACATGTTGAAATTGAATCTTTTGAAAATGTTTCCTCAGGCCAGCTATGTGCTTTTGGTATAACACTAGTTTTGAGTCCCTGGTCTTCCATTCACCTTTTAGTTGATAAATTACCAAGGCAGAATCTCCATATGCTTCTAGTGTTTCAATTTTTTTTCAATGGCCATCTGTAACCCCATGACACATGCCTCATACTCAACGACATTGTTTGTGCAATTGAAATCTAACCTTGCGGTACATGGGTAATAATTTCCTTCTGGGGATATTAGCACTGCTCCAATGCCATGCCCCATTATATTGGATGCCCCGTCGAAAAACATTTTCCAGACCTCTCTTACAGGTTCTTTATCTTCATTTTGTAAGATTGCCATCAAATCTTCATCTGAAAAGTCAAACTTCATAGGTTTATAATCTTCTGTAGTTCGATCAGTAAGAAAATCAGCAATTGCACTCCCTTTTATGGATTTTTGTGTCACGTACACAATATCATATTCTGAGAGCATGACCTGTCATCTCGCTAACCTGCCTGACAAAGATGGTTTTTCAAAAATGTACTTGAGAGGATCCAATTTTGATATTAGCCACGTTGTATGGTAGAGCATGTATTGTCTGAGTCTACGAGTAGTCCAAGCCAAGGCACAACATATTTTTTCTATTTGGGGGTACTTGATCTCGTACTCTGTAAACTTTTTACTCAAATAGTATATAGCATGCTCTTTCTTGCCAGTTTCATCTCTTTGCCCCAATACACATGCCATCGATTTTTCTTGAACCGTTAAATATAAAATCAACGGTCTTCTTGTAACTGGTGGAACCAACACCGGTGGGCTTATCAAATACTCTTTAATCTTTTTAAATGCATTTTGGCATTCTTCATCCCATTCACCAGGATTATTTTTACGAAGCAAACTGAAGATTGGATCACATTTCGAGGTAAGTTGGGATATGAAACGAGAAATATAATTCAATCGTCCCAAAAAGCCTCTCACCTTTTTTTACGTGCGTGGTGTTGATAATTCTTGAATGGCTCAAATCTTATCAAGGTCTACTTCTATACCTCTTTCACTGACTATAAACCCTAATAATTTTTCAGATTTAACACCAAAGATGCATTTGGCTGGATTCAGCTTAAGCTGGTATCTTCGTAATCTTTCAAAGAGCTTTTTGAGATTAACAACATGATCTTCCTCTTCTTGAGACTTAGCTATCATGTCATCAACATATACCTCTATCTCTTTATGCATCATATCATGAAAAAGAGTGACCATCGCTCTTTGATACGTGGCACCAGCATTCTTTAGCCCAAAAGGCATAACTTTATAGCAAAACGTCCCCCACATTGTCACAAATGTAGTTTTCTCCATATCTTCACAAGCCATTTTGATCTGATTGTAGCCAGAGAAACCATCCATGAATGAAAAAATGAATGCTTAGCAGTGTTATCCACAAGGGTATCAATATGTGGCAATGGAAAATTATCCTTTGGGCTAGCCTTATTTAAATCTCGATAGTCCACACATATTCTAACTTTTTTATCTTTCTTGGGAACTGGGACTATATTGGCTACCCATTCAGGGTATTTGGCTACTTCTAAGAAATCAGCATCAAATTACTTTTTTACTTCTTCTTTTATATTCAATAACATTTCTGGCTTCATGCATCTCAACTTCTGTTGTACTGGTCGACATTCTGGTTTTAGAGGCAGCCTATGCTCAACTACCTCTGTGCTAAGCTCGGGCATATCTTGGTAAGACCATGCAAATACATCCATGTACTCTTACAGTAGATTTACCAACTTTTGCTTTTCAATTGGTGATAGTGAAGTACCGATCCTGACTTTTTTCTTATTATCACCATCTTCCAAATTTAATGGGTCAGTTGATTCCTGGTGGGGTTCTATAATTTTCTTCTCTTGTTCCATCCATTTCAACAAATCATAAGGTAAATCATAGTCTTCTGAATCAATATCGTTATCAAGCTCACTAATGTGAGTCGAATTTTCAAAATCAAACCCGGTGTTATTGCCTTGGTCATCCATAATGTTCATTATTAGAAAACCTGAAAATGGGTATAATCACAAAGAGATATATATTGATCTTGGCAAGGGCAGAAAGAATGGTAAAAAGAAAAGAAAAATGAAAAATAGAGAACATGGTATAAGTGAAATGCATTGCATTCATCATTTTATTAAGACAATGAAAATAAGCCCACACACTTAACCTTCGCATGCTCTTGGGCAGAAGCAATTGGAATTTTCCAGTTAATAGGTTCAAGGACAACAAAACGGTATACCATTCTTCAAGTCTCCTAAAAAGGAAAAAAAGATCTCTTCATCTTAATCTGTTTTTTCATCCACTTCCATTTGAAGTCATGAGAAAGTTTTCTCTAATCCTATTACCAGTCCTCTTTGTTCAACTCCTGTCGACTCAGGATAGATATGCCCGGCTGAACGGAAGGTTTCGTACAAATAAGGGAACACCATTTTCCCATTGATCAAATTTTGTCCTTTGAGGCGCGCCATTCTCTTTTCTTTCTTTTCCAGCATTACATTCTTCTTATCAGCAGCTGAAGGCTTATAGCCTAACCCCCATTTTTCTTTGTTTTCAATCGGGCATGATGCTCTTGTGATTTCTTGTAGAGCTTTCCCTAAGTCTTGCCCAACTCGCCAACCCTTGCCAGCAGTCTGCTTGATCACCATATTGGTAGTTTTTGACAATTGAGGGATCGGCATCCTTGACCCTTCTCTTATGTAAGTAGTATTTGCTACTTTAAAAGCTCTGAAAGAACATTTAATTGCTTCTTCTGCTGTCTCAACGTAAGGAGTTGCTAAGGTCTTTGCTACCAACAAGTCCTCCTCACCATCCACACAGACTTGTTTTCCTTCTATGATGAATTTTACCTTCTAATGTAGTGATGAAGGTATAGCTCCGGTCGTATGAATCCAAGGTCTTCCAAGTAGACAACTATATGCTGGAGTTATGTCCATTACTTGAAATATAACGTTAAAGGTACAAGGACCAATCTGTAATAGGATCTCTATATCGCCAATTACCTCTCTCCGTGCCCGTCAAATGCTTTTACAATCATATGGCTATTTCGCATATGAAAAAGATCCACTGAAAGCTTTGACAATGTTGTCAAAGGTATAACATTAATAGACGATCCATTATCAATCAGCACTTTAGCCATAGTGTGGGACTTACACTTGACAGTAACATGTAAGGCCTTAACACTACCACGTCCCTCCGGAGGTATTTCATCATCATTAAAGGTAATGAAATTAGGGGCTATAATATTTCCAATCATATGATCAACCTTCTCAACAGAAATGTTGTGCTCGACATAAGCTTGGTTGAGCACTTTCAACAAAGCATTCCTATGCGACTCAGAGTTTAGTAGTAGTGACAGTAAAGAAATACGAGCTGGTAGTTTATTCAGCTGGTCAACCACACTATACTCACTGTGTTTGATGATCTTTAAAAATTCACAAGCTTTTTTTTTTATACCGGTTTGTTAATTTGGACTTTGGAGTTTACCACCGGTTGGGAATCTTCGTTTTCCCTTGTGTCTTCTTCTTCTATCTTGTCTTTCCCTTTCCTGACGCTTTCTGACATTTCAGGAGTGTAAATTTGACCACTTCGGGTCATTCCTCCTACTCCCGCTATGTTGGCGGTATTCTCTATGCTTAGATTATTCGAGGTTATATTAGGCCCTCGTATTGCTACATCATAATCATATCGCCATGAGACTGCTTTGTTGGACTGATAAGGGAATGGACTAGGGACATGAATGGTCATTGATGTCCTGGGAGAGAAGATAGTTTTCTCAATTAGGGGCTCTGATTTTTCATCATAGTAAACAGTGAGGGGTTTAGGGATAAAAGACTTGCTAGGACGCTCGTCACCCATTGTATTCACACTATTTTCATCATATTCATCATAGAATTCAATGATGGCCTTATCCATCAAGCTCTGCAATGTTTGCTTAAAGACCTCACAATTTTGAATCGAATGTCCAATTGTTCTCCCATGGTATTTACAAAAATGGTCTGGGTCTTCATGATTGCCATTGTCATCCGAAAATAGTAGTTGAATCATGGTCGTTTTATACAAACAGTCATACATCCTTTCAAAAGGGGTCCTCACTTCATCTGTGCATCTTTTGATCTTTTCACATTTTTCTTTACCCACCATATTGATTTTCCCTTCGATGTGATCCGACAAAGGGTTTCCACTGACATTCGGCTTGAATTTAGTATCAAAAGATAAAAGCCTGTCATTTATCAAACCTTGCACCTTGTGTTTAAATGTCGTGCAATTTTCAGTAGAGTGTCCTGTAACTCCATAATGATAATCGCACTTGACGTTAGGGTCATACCAACTTGGGTAAGGTGGTCTCAACGATTTTGCATAAGTAGGAACGACAAGGTGGCCTTTCATTAACTGAGGGTACAAATCAGTGTAAGACATGGGAATTAGGTCAAAATGAGGTCTTTCTCGATTATTATTTTATGAGTTTCTTTGATTGCTGTTTAGATAAGTCGATCGGGTAAACGGTCGAGCTGAAGGTACAGAGGTGTAATTAGATGATTGAAGACTAAAACTTGGTCTGGGTAATGGTTGTTGGGGTGCTCGATAATGGTATGGTTGTTGAGAAACTTGGTTTGTGGCAGGGTAGTAAGGGGGATATGGATTATACGGGACAAAAAGATAGTGTGAGGGATTTCTGTGAGTGACAGCATATGTTTCCTGCTCTTTCTTCTTTACAGTTACTGTATTCTTTTCAGACCCTTCAATTTTACCACTTTTGATAGCGTTCTCTATCATCTTTCCTGAGATTACCATGTCAGAAAAGTTTTTTGTGGCATTTTCCACCAATCTATCATAATACGGGGCCTTCAGTGTATTGACAAATAGCACGGTTATCTCTTTTTCTGTCAGTGGTAGTTGAACTTGAGCCGCTGCATCCCTCCATCGATGTGCGTATTCTTTGAAGGTTTCCATCGATTTTTTCTCCATATTTTACAATGATAGCCTATCAGGGGTTGTATCCAAGACATGCTTATACTGGACAAGAAAAACTTTGGCCAAGTCTTTCCATGAATTGATCTTGCTTCGATCTAACTGCACATACCATTTAGCTACTGAACCAGTCAAACTATCTTAAAAACAGTGTATCAATAGTTTGTCGTTATGGGTATGACCTGTCATTTTTCTACAAAACATGGTGATATGAGCAGAAGGACACTTTGTCCCATCATATTTTTCAAAATCTGGAGTCTTAAATTTTGGTGGGATAACCAAGTCAGGCACTAGGCTGAGCTCATTGGCGTCAATAACCCCATAAATGTCATTACCTTCAACCGCTTTGAGCCTCTCTTCGAGTTGGTCATACTTATCTTGAATTTTTAAATTTATAACAGGTACTGACATTTCATGAGACTTCTCTTGTTCAATAGGATCGTCAAGATTTGGTACCATGATGGGATCAACTGGGATGGGTCCTGAATTGGTATTCAAGTGGGTTGATCATTGACTTGCAGAATGATTGACATATGGGTGAGGTTGTGCACTTGGTGGTTGTATGTGTATACCCTGAGGAACTTGAATCTGAACCTTAGGCGGAGTGAATCCCGGAGGGTATAATGGCTCTTCTATATTAACCTCCTCTCTTGTCTTTGACGCACCAGCGACTCCTTTTTCTTTCATTGAACCAAGCAACAGTTGTCTTAATTCAGTCATTTGTGCTTCGATGCTTTGCTATATTTCCATTACTTTTTTTCGTATTTTCTTTTGTGCCCTTTCGACCCTTTCAAATCTAGCTGTATTCTCTTCTTCCATGGCTCGAGCTTGAGAACGAGTATTATATCTATGCGAAATTGATGAATTTTGGTTCCTTGACTTTGCTATCCTTGAACCTTAGTTTATTAACCATGAATTAGATCGCATGATATAATGTCGTTGATATTATTATTGGTATGAAAATGAATGCATGAAATGAATGAAATGCAAATTAGGGTACTGTTTTGGATCGATCGAAACAAAAAGAAACTTTCATTAACCATGGGAGTCTTTATACATTATCCGATCATTCTTGCATTAAAGCCATAAAAACATTTGACTTGAGCATATTGCTCCCTAGCTTCATACAAAAAGTGCAATAATCTTTGACTGTGGCCTTGAGTTGGTACAATCTCCCGTTCCAATGCTTCCGCATTTTCAACCATGTTGCTTGCGTTTCGAACAGCCTTGTAGATTTGAATAGTCAGATGCTCGATGTATTGCTGCCTCCCTAAACTTTCTGCTCTCCACATTTCTCGAGCATCTACCTTCATATTACAAGTGTGAGCTCAATAATCTTCTCTATCTTACCACTCAGTCAAAATCTTGTCTATGTGACTCTGATTGCTTGTCAATTGAAGTTCAAAGCTCATTAATTCATGCTCTAAGGCTCTTTTCTCACTTTGTAAATCGAAGTTCTTGCTTTGTTCCCTCTTTAGTTCAGCTTTTAGCTTTTCACTTTCTCTTTGGTGCCTTGTTATCTTTTCAGAAGCTCCTGAAAGTTTTTTTTCCATTCATGTTGTTCTTTAGTGAGTGTGGAGATTATTTCTTTATTCTCTCGAGCTCTGTTCTTCCAATATTCCACCATATCTCGTAGTTCCTCCACATCTTTCTTGGATCCCTTCAAAGGTCTGCTATCCAATCTTAATTTCTTATTTTCTTGATGTAAATTTTATAGATCTTCTTTTAATACTTTTCGTTCTTTAATCAACTTCTGTACTACATCATCTCTCATCATCAAATCATATCTCAATTGGTTGACCTGATCCATCATAACCATATTTTCTTTCTCTAACCTTTTCTTTTCAATCTCAAATTCTCGTTGAGCGATCTCAAGAGTCGATAATACTGGTACTGAAATAGGAATTGGCAACTTCTCTGAAACATCAATTGGTAGAGGCTTAATTTCATTAACCCTTTTTATCCTTCAGGTAAGGTAACATTCTGTAACATTATCTGTAAATCTAGCTGGACTCATTCGGTTGACTTGCTTCCATGCTTTGATGATTTCACGAACCTTTTTCACGTAACCGGGTGTCCCATAATCAAACTCGAGTGAATTGAGTCCATGAGTCATAGGGATAAACTGCCGTGAGTCATATTATCTTTGAACCATAAGGGGCGCGTAACTCACTGCCCCCCATATTCCTAACAAAGGTACCCATGACTCATCTCCACAACTATATAAGATGGTCATCGGAAGCATCCATGGTGCCCTCCATGTTACATCTTCACTCGTGAGCTTCAGAAAGAATGCCAACCACTGACCTTTTGTCCAATCATTCCTCCATTCTTTAGCAATAAACTCCTTGATAGGACTGAAATGTACAGAGAATGGCCGAAATGATATCTTTTCTTTCCCCAAAAAATGGCTTCTAAGCCAGACAAAAAGCAACTGAGCACACCCCATAAATCGTCTTTCACCCTTTCTTCGATAAAAATTAAGTGATCTAATAGTTTCTGCCAAAATAGTTGGTGAAGGATTTATACCTTTATCTAATTGCTCAAAGAAATCAACCACTGATGCTTCTATATGTCCTAAAACCTTAGGGAATATCATCAGCCCATAGATGGCCAAAGCAAACACATCCAACCCCTGATCAGTGTTAATATACCTTCTTATGTACTCGAGCAGAAAAGTTGATGAAATGGTCTCAACCCCGTTTTTTTCTTTCTTATGCTTGTCTATCTCTTGGACCTCCACTTGCATGATCTTGGCTAATTTTTTTCTATATCCGGTAGTCTTATGCTCTTTCCAATAGATCTTGTCTTGATTGGTAGACTCTATCTAGAGTAAAAAAGAATATTCTTCGATCGTGGGGACCAAGTCTTCTTGGTTGAATACAAAGCATCGATAAGATGGATCCCAGAACTGTGTTGCGACTCTCATCAACTGTTCATCAACCTTCACTGACATAAGTAGTGCCACATCTCCATATTTCTTGGAAAATGATTCTTTTCTCTCTGTTCTCCACTGTTTCCAAATGGCTTCCAATTCTGATATATTATTTTGACTGAGATCCATATGCATTGACTGTGGTAGCACTGATATATGACCATCTACTAAGCAATCTCTTTCATTTCTCTGAGTATCTTCTGAATGGTTCTTGACCTCTAAGTAGCTCTTACACATGGATGACATCCTTTAGGTTTTTTGAAAGTTTTTCTTGCTAAAGATAGGTCCAAAACAATACCCTCTAGAAATATGGTACCTATATGATGCATGCAACGAAATTGAAGACAACAAAAGAATTAAACAAATCAATACTGTAAATAAAACAAATAAACAAAAATAAGTAAATGAATTAACAAGCATACGTCATAACAGAATATACATAGTGTCCCAATTTAGGTAATTTTCTCATAAAAGGGACGATATGGCTCTATCCTAAAGTTGAACCTTACGGGTCGCTATATGCCAGGTTAAGCTTTACGCGTCTAAAGGTTCTCAGACTATTCCTCACATTATTGTCCATTATAGACTAGTAAGGCTCCCCGATCCTTACCCATTACAGGTTGCTAACAGAACGGGTTCAATCTGAGTGAAAATGTTTCGCTAGCAAATGCGGAGGTTATCACCTCACGAGAGCGTAGCTACTTCATTTCCTCCTAAAAGGGATAGAGCTCGGGTTTAGAGCTCATGCATGAATATGCAAAGTGTGTGCACAATAATTTAATTAAAATAACATGAATAAATCATAACCACAAAATCAAAATAAATTAATAACTAACACACAATTTGTTTTATTTATTAACAAATATTTTTTTTTTGAAAAATCAAGGTGAAGGAAATTAAAAGAAATATCAAATAAAACCAATTAAATCCAACAATTCTTAATAACGCATAATTAAAAGTTTTGGCTTGACTCTCGAAATTAATCCCCAGTGGAGTTGCCAGGCTGTCATAACGGTTTTGAGACCGTCAGACGTAAATATGAGGTTTTAAAATCGGGGAAAATAAATAAAAAGAGGAGTCGCCACCAATCTTTGTTAGGGTGTGATTGGCCACCCAAAAGTTTATCTTTTTAATAAAATTATAAAAACAAGTTTAAAGTTTATCAAAAAGATAAATTTCAGTCTGCGAAAAATCAGGTTGGGTCCGGGAGTCGGTTACGCTTGGGGAAGGATTAGCACCCCCACAACGCCCATAAATTGGTACCATTTAATTATGCACTATTTTCGACGTTAGATAAAAATAGTTTTAATTTGAAATTTTACATTAATTCCCTTCATTAAAAAAAATATTTTTTGCTAAATTTTTTTTAGGAATATTGAGAAAATCTTTAAGTTAAAGAATTATCTTGAAATTCTCCAACATCTAGGCAGAATTTGAAATAACTCTTTTCGCTTAAGATTTAACACAACAATTCTTAAAATGAAATAACACTCTTTATAAAAAATAATTGTTAGTAACTCTCCAACATCTAGGCAGAGCACCAAAAATTATTTCTTTCGGAATGTTATTCTTATTTTATTTTATAACATCACAAAAAAAAAATTTAGTATTATTTATTATTATTTTTTTTTATTGTAAAATATTTTATCATTAAGTAGTAAATAAAAAAATTAAAGACAGAATAGTACAAACAAATGCTGATAATAACGTGCTAACGTATGTATGCCAATAAATGTTATGTAACATGAAATGCAATTTAAGAGTTGGATTCTTAAGTATAATGAGACCACCTTGACTCTCCAATATCTAGGCAGAGCTTAGGTGCGACTGTTTATATTTAAGATCCCAATTTTATTATACTTTTTATTTTTTAATTTTATTATTAATAAATTTAGAACACAGTGTGAAAAACTTAATGAAATGAAGTTTCCTAAATACCCCATCATTTAGGCAGTATTCGGGAACAAATCATCTCATGTGAGACTTCCACAAGTGTTCTTAAAGTTTTGAAATAAATTAAGGGTAAAATTTTAGGGTTTAAGTTTAGGGTTTGAGGTTTAATTAAAACGTGAACATCTCTAAAAATCTCCATCATCTAGGCAGACTTTCAAAGCAAGTTCAAAATTTTTATAATTTTGGAAAACTAGTTAGAATTTTCTTATATACATTTTTTATGAAAATTTAAATAATAATTCCCCAACATCTAGACGGAATTATTTGTTTGAAGATGTATTTTTTTTATTCCCTCCAACATTTAGGCAGGGAAAATAAAAGCTTATTTTATTATTATTATTACTATTTAAACATTTTTTAAAATATATTATTTTTTTCTTTATATGTTTTCATTTTTATTATTATTATTAATAACAATTAAATATTTATCATAATAAATTTAAACATTTATGCATAAAAAAAACTTAAAATAACAAAGATAATATTATATAAAAAGAATAGAAAATTCAAAAAAATTTTTTTTTTTTAAACCTGAACCGGACCGGTCAACGGCGGTTCGACGGTTCGGTTCGGTCTGGGAGCGGTTTGGTTGGTTCAGCGGTTCAGGCCGGTCCAGAGAGCGGTTCGGTTCGGTCTGGTCAAATCGGTTTAGAGCCGTTGAGAAGTCGGGTTAACGGGTCAGTTGCGCGGACCTCGGGTCGGATTCGGGTCAACGCGCGGATCCTCCTTGATTTAAACGACGTCGTTTTGGGGCGTTTATTGAAACGACGTCGTTTTGGCTATTGACTATTTATATAAAAGTTAAAATTTTTTCTTTCCCTCATTCCTTTCACTCTTCAAAAAAAAAAAACCTTCTTTTCTCTCTCGTTTTTTTTTTCTCCGACCAAACGCAGATGGTCGACCGGCCGTTCCTCCGCCGCTGTTCGCCGGTCACCGACTGCCGTTGACGGTGGTCAAAAAATTCCCAAAAATACCAAAACGTTCCCCTCGACCTCCTGAGTTCAGATCTGAGGTCCCTTTCATCAAAAAGCGTCCCCACTTCCCTAGATCTGCTAGTGAAGTTTCGATCGATCCCTTTTTCTTTTGTATTCTGGCTTTATTTTTTTTTTTGAACTGACTTTGATTTTTCTTTGTGCAGGGGCTCTCGGCGCTGGGTTCCTCCCTGCGGGAAGGACTGTTTGATTTTTTTTTTTGTGATTTTCTTTCCCTTTTTTTTTTGACAGAATCTCCCTCTCTTTTTTTTTTTCTTCTTTAACGTCTTCGCTAGATAGAGCTCCAGCCATACGCGTTTGGAGAGAAAGGCATGGGGCTCGATCACGGGATGTAAACACGAGCCCCGTGCCTCTTTTATTCAATTTTGTTTTATTTGACGTTTGTCAACTGAAGAAGTAATTAAGTGTGGAGGGTAGGGTCTTAATTTTTGTCTTCTGTTTTTTTTTTTTGGGTATTTTTCATTTTTATTTTTTTTGGTTTTTTATTTTGTATTATTTTTGGTATTTTTTTTATTTCATATTTTGTAATATTATTATTATTATTTTATTTTATTTTATTCTGGGACAAAAATTGATGTTTACATGTAAGTATTTAAGGATTAATTAAAAAAATTAAAAAAAATTAAAGAGAATATAGAGATATTTTTTGAGACAAAAATGGCCCCACTAATATTTTTTGTTTCAATGATTTTTCTGGCCCACTCATAATATTATCGGAGAAAGTGAGAGTAGTGAGCTTTGATTTTTCTTTCGTCTGATTTAATTAAAATCAAGTGATCTTCCATATGGCTAAGCTTTACTTTAGTTTCAATCAAAACCTGAGAGTGAGGGATGATTTTGACTATCAATTTCTTTCACTCCACGAATTTCATCCTCTTCTCACCAAAAGAACATTTAGACAGCAGATTTGCTATGCTACCCCAATTTTATTGCTTCTTTCCCACAACTCCTCCTTCGTTTCAAGCTCTACTGCTGCACTATCACCATGTGTTATTAGAGTTGGTAAAGTACTTGTCTATTCCTTGTTTTAATTTCTAATTTCATCTTTAATTATTTTATTCCATTCTTTTTTTCTTAATTTGTTTTTATGTATGTTCTTATCATTCTAAGCATATTATAATCACACATATATATATATATATATAGTATATATAGTAAAGATAAAAAAAAGTAAAAATAAGGGTTAAAAATCGAATCTCAATTTTATAAATATTAATCTACTTTCTAAGAAAATTAACGAATCATTTGAAGTAAATTTTAGGTTCACAATGAGGGTTTTTTTTTTTTTTTTTTTCCTTCTTGCTAATTGATTATCCTTCTTTCCTGGCCTTTGCTCAATATTCTCATGATTTTTTTTTTAAGTAAACATGGAGAAATCATCATCATTTATTTCCTTTTTCTCACTTTTCTTCTACGATCTTCTTCCTCATTACATATATATAACTTGAGCAATGCCTTAATTTCTTTTTGATTGGCTTCTTTGATCATATGCTTCATTTTCGTCTCATAGGTTAGGAGAGAGATTGCTCCATCAACTTATCTGGCTTCAAGCTAGGCCTTGAGATCTTTGGCCTCTTCATTATATGTGGAACTTGGGATCTCATCATTTTGGAAAGGGATATAATCTTAGATCTTCTTGATCGTATACGTGAAGCGATTTGACATGTTGGTGATGGACTCATACTCAGTGAGTAACTAAGTATCCATATCTTGGATTCTTTAACTTGGTTGATGCCTTCAGCCTCACATCCAAATCCTACAAAACTAACTTGGTTAGTACTCTCACAAGTTGATATTATTTTGCATTGAGTTGATAGAGGTTCATATGTTTTACTCTTTTTTTTTTTTTTGAATTATAATTATAATTATAATTTTATATATATATTTATATTAAAGTAGGTATAATTTAAATAATTTATCATTGATCGTTAATACTAATTTATTAAATAAAAATTAAAGGGCGCGGACAGTTGTGTGATCAACTTTAAAACATCTTTAGAGGCTCTTATTTCTAATAGTAGTTTTAATCGATACATAATTTTTTATTTTTAATTTGTCAATATTAGAGAAAAGTTGCGTGATATAATGATAAAGTACATTTTAATTTTAATGATCATGATTTCAGTACAGTCAGATCGAGGGAAATCAATACACTCTCACTGAAGGTAGGATATAATAAAACTGGGATAATCCTCTGTCCAAGTTTATTCCTCTGTTAGGTGGAGGCCATATTTTGCCAGGTTGTGTGCCACGTTATTCCCATCCTTATGAACATGCACAGTAGTACTTCCTTCCAGGCTATCCAACAACTGTTTCCCCTCCTCTATTAATAAGCCAATCGGCGAGAGGTCTGGTTGCCTGGCCTTCAGCTTCCTAATCTCAGTCAGGCTATCGCCCTCCAATATCACACGATTATACCCCATCTCTGAAACAAGCTTTAGTGTTGCTACTGCTGCCCTTCCTTCCACCTGAAAAGGATCCATAACAGATAAAATGCATGAGGATAAAGCCCCTAGAACCGCACCCGTGGAGTCTCTTATCATAGCTTCCGCCCACCTTTGTTTTACTGGCAGTCATACACTCCATCAAAGTTTACTTTTACCTAACCTATGCTTGGTTGTGTCCAACCACGAGGAGCAACATTGGTTCTATTCGTCCGTAACTGAGCTGCATTATACTCCTCAACGTATTTTTTAATAAAAAAAACCAGCTCATGTGTACTCCTCTCCTTTTCCCCATGCAGTACATAATTCCCTTCTCCCCATATACCCCAAACTGTAACCATGAAAAGCTGTAATAGGTCATGTGTTTTCTCCTTGAAGTTGTGTTTAAACCATTTCTTCATGTCAGACCAGTTGTTTTCCTCATCTAGCTCCAATTGTATTGCTTCCCAAATTCTGGCTTTTACTAAGTGCACGAAAAACCGTTTTTTCCTCTGCCCCGCACCGAAAACATGCTTTTTCCATGTCCAATCCCCCTTTTAGAGAGATTCAGATTAGTAGGCAGAATTTCATAGAAATTACATCGGGCCATCGCTTTAATTTTATTTGGCACTTTTACATCCCATATATTCCTCCACAAACCACCATTTTCATTATCACGTGGGCCTGAGTTCGAAGTCTCAATTTCTTCTTCAGCACATGAGAGTTTGTAACCACTCCTTACCATATAGTTCCTCGAGTCGTCATAATGCCATACGTGTGTCATCAGAACCTACATTACTAACAGGTAATGCACTTATGGCCAGTCCGCCCTCCTCAGTGAACATGTTGGAGATGACATCTTGTTTCTAGGTTCTTGTCTTAGGGTTTATGAGTTCAGCCACTCTGCTATCAAAGTCCATTTCTCCAGTTTGTCGTGGTTTGAAATTTGGGGAAGTTGAGATCCATTTGTCCTGCCAGATTCTGATTTTTTCCCTATTTCCCACACGCCACCTAAGTCCCTTGTCCTCCAACTCTCTTGCAATCCATAGACTTCTCCACATAAGATATGCAGAAGTACCTAATTTTGCATTCACGTAGTCACACTCAGGGAAATATTTGGCTTTCAAAAGCTGTGTTACCAGCTGTGTCGGCTGGGTTTAGAGTCTCCAGCCTTGCTTACCCAGCATTGCTAGATTAAACTTCTCCATTTCTCTGAATCCTAGTCCCTCTTTGTTCTTTGATTGACATAGGTCGCCCTATTTTAACCAATGGATTCCTTTCGTTCCACCTCATTATTTCTACCAAAGTCCACCAATTATGCTGTTGATTCTTCTATACACACCTTTTGGCAACAGAAAATAGTTCATCGCATAAGAAGGAACTGCTTGGAACACTGCCTTGACAAAGATTTCCTTACCCTCATAAGATAGGCATCTATTACCCCATGCATTTGTCTTTGCTTTAACTCTGTTCTTGATTTCCCGAAAAGCACTAAATTTGGCTCTCCCCACCATAGTCGGTAAGCCCAAATATTTCTTAGGGAGGTTGTGGCCTAAATACCAAAGATGCCTTGAATCTCCGCCCTATGTTCCGCACTTGTGTTCTTACTGAAAAAAAAGAGCAGATTTGTCAAAGTTGACTTTTTGTCCTGATCCTTCGTCATATCACTGTAACATGTCCTTCACTTTCTCGCCTTCACTCCTTGTTGTCCTTGCAAAGAGCAAGCTGTCATCGGCAAACAACAAGTAACTGATTTAAGGACCCCTTCAACTAGCTTGGACACCATGAATTACACCATCCCTTTGAGCTTTGCATAACATAGCAGACAGGCCATCACTACAAATCAGGAACAAATATGGAGATAAAGGGTCTGAACTTGTTAGTAACACAGCCATTAACAACTATGGAATTCGAAACTGATGTGATGCATCTCATAATAAGGGATATCTATCTGTTATGGAAACCTAACCTTACCATCAGGCTTGTGAGAAAAACCTAACCTTTCCATCAGGCTTGTAAGAAAAACCACTTCATCCTATCATATGCCTTGCTTATATCCAGCTTTAAAGCAAAGGAACCTGTCTTACCTGTCTGTCTGTTCTTCAGGGAATGCAGTAGTTCATAGGCTACCAGAACATTATCAACTATTAACTGGCCTGGAACAAAAGCACTTTGTGATTTGCTAATACACTGAGGTAGGATTAGTTTCAGTCTGTTTACAAGGACCTTTACGATGATCTTGTATAGGACATTACAGATCCTGATGGGCCAAAAGTGGGTAATCTGCTTAGGATCTTTAATTTTTGGGATAAGAATCATGTTTGTATGATTCACATCCTTCAGTCTTCTCTCCCCATTCAGGAACTGTAAGCAGAAGGTGACCACATCTTTACCTACTATACACCAGTATTTCTGGTAGAAGAGTACTGGCATACCATCTGGAATTCTGGTCCTCGTGACTTTAAAGGGTGCATCTGCTTCAGCGCTGTGAACACTTCATCCTCTCTGAATTCGGCCACAAGTGTGTCGTTCATTTCCATGGTGACACTATTCTCCACTGCCTACATGATACCATTCGTAATATTACATCCCTGGGATTGGAACCATTCTCTGAAGCATTTATTAGCAGTATTCTGGATCACTTCCTCCCCCTTCACACCATTCACCATTATTGTCCTCAAGGCCCTTGATAATGTTGTGCCTTCTCCTCTGCTTCGCCTTGGCTTAAAAAAATGATGTGTTATGGTACCCCTCCCTTAACCATATAATCCTTGCACGCTGGGCCCAGAATGTTTCCTTCTTGTCTAACATATTATTAAGCTCATTTTTAGTGACCTTTATCTTAAGAGATTCTTATCACTAATAGGAAGGCTTTCGGCCCATTGAAGATTCCTGTGCAGCTCTTTGATTTTGCCCTTCATGTTCTAGTACTTCTCTCCATGCCATGTTTTCAGTTTTTCACTCGTTGCTTCAATCCTGTTCTGCAAACTGGTCTGGTTGTCTCATCTCCAAACCGACTGGATCTGTTTTTTCATAGTTAATATCTAATGCCCACATAGCTTCAAATTAAAAACGACTTTTCTTCTTCCTTCTCCTACCCTTTGGTTTATTTCCTTCGGTGTTGACCAAGATAGGTTTGTGATAAAAAATCGGTGTAGTAAAGTGAGACAATGAGAAGAACAGAAAGTTTTCCAACCATTCACGGGTTCCCACCCCCTATCCAGCCTCTCCCGCACGTTGTTCGTCCTGTCATTTCCCCTTTCCCAAGTAAACTAGGTGCCATCGAAATCAATATCTTCGAGTCCTGCGTCTGACAGCACTTCCCTAAACTCTCCCATCTGTATTTCCCTTCTCTTCCTTCCCTCCAATTCCTTTTATGGCCACATAATTTTATTAAAGTCTCCAATACATATCCATGGTTTATCCAATTGTGTAGCTAAGTTCCTCAACAAACTCCATGATATGTCCATTCTCCTTGTGTCTGACTCCTTGTAGAACCCTGTAAGACGCCACCCTCGATTGTCATTCCCATCCAGTACCTTCATATCAATGTGATTCGATGAGTAACTTAGCAGTTTTAGGTTGGTGTCTTCCCTCCATAACATAGCCAGGCTCCTTCTATTTCTTTTAGAACTAACCTCGCAACAAGCATCCAATCCACATCTTCGTTTTATGCTATCAAACTTTTTTAAATGTAGCTTCATCTCATAAAGGAATACTACATAAGAGTCTTCTTTTTTCAGCAGTTGCTGAAGGACACGAACTGCCTGTGGGTTCCCAAGCCCACGGTAGGCACTTCATTGTGTCCAACAGGACTGAAAACCAGTTGCCGCCGTTTCGATTTCTCCTTTATGCTGGAATTCTCCTTCTTTCCTAAAAAACTTTGTCTGTGGTGCCTCTGCCCCAACCGTATCCCCATTTGCATCCACCTTATCAGCTCCTTTTCTTTTCCCCAGTTGTACAGTGTCACTCGTCGAAACCTGTCCCATACCCTGGGCTTGTTTCTTTCAGTATCCATTTACCCTCGACCCATCTCTATGTTTTTGATACTCTTCTGCATGCATGGTTTCCTTAACATGAATTGGATGGTTACGGCCCACCCCACACGCCCGATCTGAAGCTGCCCCCACCTCCCTTGTTCGTTTTAAAAAGTCCTGCATGGTTTCATGTATCGTGGATATTGTGTGCTTGTCAGCATCGTCTTTTCCTTGGGGGTTTAAGTGAGGCCCACTAGGTGATACCTTCGTGCCCCCGCCCGTCACTTTGCTTGGTCATACGTCACCTCCCATCACGGGTTGACCATCACAGCACACATATGGGTTTGATCAAGGCTCATCAAGATGCACTATATTTGAAAATCTTCCAATATCTGCTTGTAAGCCGTTAATCTCGCGTCTTAGCATCTCCTGAGAATCCTCTATTGAGTCAGCTCCCCCATTAACTCCTTTCCTGCCAATCTCATTTTCCACATTTACCGCCTGGTTATCCGTTGAGAGATTGCTCCCCTTACGATTCTGGTGGGTTGCCCTAGTGTCCTTTTCCATTATGCCACCACCCTCTACTGCCGCTTGGTGTTGATCCACTCCAAGCCCTGATGATATGATTTATTCCTTACACTCGTATGTTTTACCTCTAGATTTATCCAAAGTCCCTCATTCAGAATATGAAAAAACCATATATGAATAGGCATACTGCATGTCTATTGTAGTAATCAGCTACAAAAATATTTGAAATAAAGAATGATTTTTAAATTATTTTTATGATACATGCCAAGGAGATGCTCTTAAGTTTCTTAAAAAATGGGAAACGACTGAGTTAGAAAAATATCAAAAAACAAAACCTCTTAACTTTTCTACAATCTCTGCTCTTTTAAAACTTTTTACACAAATCATAAAAAATGAAATATGTGGGATGATGGAAGAAGTTGATGCTAATAATGAAGCTCAATATATTCTTTCTAAGCTGAAACATCCAAAACCAGAATGAATTTTCAAAAAGATATCTTAGTAAATATCAGCATTTGGATGAAGAACATTTCAAATTTTGGTTAGAATAATATTTTCATAAACTCCTAGTACCATGAGATGAGTTGTTCTCAAAATTATTCTATTTTTTTAAGAGTAAATTAGAAAAATCTAGTATAATAAATCCCGATATTGCTTTATACGATATTTTAGGAAGTCGTATACATTATATACAAAATCAAGTTATAGAATACTGTTTGAAACAACAAGCAGCTAAGCAAGCCAAAAGCAAACTTAGTCATAAGCAATGTTTGAAACTTTTGCAAGATGAGTTTAATTTTGGTTGTAAACAACAATCAAAATTTAAAAGGCGTTTTAAAAAGAAATGTTATTCTATGAAAAAATGGAAACCTTACAAACAACAAATTTCTGCCAAAAAGAAATATGTTGTTAAAAAGAAAAATTCCAAATACAAGAAAAAAGAAAAATACAAATGTTTTATTTGTGATCAAGAAGATCATTTAGCTTTTAATAGTCCTAACAAAGGAAGAAGCACTAAAAATATGATCAAAACTCTTGAACAACAAGAGTTTTGTATTGTTTATGCAAAAGAAATATTATATACTGAACAGATTTTTTATGAAATATTTTCTAAAACAAAATCTTATTCTTCTGATAATGAATATATTTTTATGGTCAATGAAGCTACATTTAACCAAGATACAACTTCTGTGAAATTTACTTCTTCAACAAAACCTGTTCAAGAAGAAATGATGTTTTAAGGAATATTATGAGAAAAACTCATACTATTTTTGAAGCAAAATTGAAACAAATATAGCTCATAAAAAGATGAGATTTACAAAACCAATTATTTCAAAATATTTCAACCATGGTTTAAACACCATATACAAAAAGTATTTGGCGATACTATAGCTAATGATTCTAAACAAGGATCAATAGAAATTCCTTTGTTTTCTCAATAAAAAATCAACTAATTTCTCACAAAATATACCAAGATGAAATGCGTACATATTGATATTATTATGATTACTATAAAATCCCTTTTTATATATGAAAAAGAGATTTCTATTTTAGTTGTTTTAATGGATCAAATTTTTTTTAATCTAGTTAATGCTGTAATTGGAGGAATCCAATCCAATTTAGCATCTGGACTTGTTGTTTTCAAAGTTAAATCAAATTATTTTTTTCTGTATTTGGTCTTTTAATAAAAAAAGTCTTTGTCTTCATATCAGAACACAAAATTTTGATATCTACGAGTATGTTCTCATGATCTTTCCATAAATTAGACTGTTATCTATGAGTTTACAAATACTACTACAGTATCTATAAAAAAGATAGATCCTAAATTGATTGAAATATTTAAACCACAAAAATTTGAATATGAAATCAAACCTAAATTTATGGATATTCATAATTTATCTATCCTAATAGGATGGGCTTTTACCTAGTACTGAAAATTAAGAAGAAATTTAGAGTCAAAATAATTCTCTAAAATTCTTCTCATCAAGAAAAAATATTTATTTCAAAAATACTAGTACTTATAATCCAAATCTTGGATTAGTACTACCTATATCATTTTCTATTCAAAAAGATAATTTAGAAAGCTCGAGTAGTCAACAATCCTTTGCTACTCCATATAGAAATTCTTTTTTTGGATTTCAAAGCAATAGTATAATAAGTACTCAAATTCCTATCTTTCCTAAAGATAACCATTCTCAAACATCACAATATAAAACAATCAATTTTGTTTTGCAATCAGTATCTTTTTCTAGAAAAACTAGAATTGAAAAAACAAAATCCTTAATTTTAAAAATTGATTTTATAAGTTTTGGCAATAAAAAAGCAAACAGCTCTTTTACTTTTATTGAAGGAACATTTCGTTTTCAAAATTATAAACCTTGTTCTTTACATATTCTATTAGACACAGCAGCAACCATCTCCAATTGTCGTAGTAATGCATTTTCATTAGACAAATGGGAACCAATAAAACATCCTATAATAGTAGTAGGAATAGAGGGAAAAGAAACCCTTATAGGATACAAAGCACAAAATGTCCCTATATATTTCAATAACACTAAATTTATAATTCCAAAGATACTTTGCTTTCCTCATATGCGTGGTGACATGTTATTAGGAAACAACTTTTTCATAAAATATTTATCATTTTATATTTACCCTAATAATATTTTTCTTACAATGGATAATCAATTTATTAATATCGATTTGGTAAAATAACCTCAAAATATTTGTGATAAAAATTTTCAACCGAAAACAATGAATTCTCAAATCAAGCTAATCAGTGAAAAACACTAGTTATATATAGTTTTAAAAAAAAAATTTTGTGAAGAACCTTTGAAATTATGGGTGCGAAGTCCTAGATTTTGTTCTCTCAAACTTATAGACCCTTCTAAAATCATTAGAGTAAAACTCATGATTTATACCAAACAGGATATAGATGAATTTAAAATTCAAATTTTTGAACTTCTTTCAAAAGGGTTAATTGAAACAACAACTAGCCCTCATTCAAGCTCTGCATTTTTGGTAAGAAATCATGCAGAAATCAAAAAAGGAAAACCTTGATTGGTAATCAACTATAAAAGGTTAAATCAAAATTTGGTTTTTGACGGATATTACATCCCTTGAAAAGGTCTTTTGATAAATTTAGCAAAAAATGCTACATATTTTTTAAAATTTGATTGTAAATCAGGGTTTTGGTAGATTAAGCTAAAAAAAGAGTCAAAAGCATTAACTGCCTTCAGTGCACCAACAGGACATTATTAGTAGACTGTAATGCCATTTGGACTTTGCAATGCTCCTCAGATTTTGCAACGATGGATGGATGAAATTTTTGCAAAACATAAAAAATTTTGTTGTGTCTATATTAATGACATTTTGGTTTTTTCAAAAAATCTTTATGATCATTGAAAGCATTTAAATATTATTGCTCAAGAATTCATCCAGCATGGAATTATACTTGGTCAAAAAACGATTGAGTTAGAAAAAACTCAATGGTCTTGAACTACAAGATCATATTATAGTCAAAATACAAGAATTTCCAGAACAACTGAAAACGAAAAAGTAGGTACAATAATTTTTAGATCTTCTAAACTATGGAAGATAATTTTTCAAAAATCTCTCTAAAAAAGAGAAAATTCTTCGAGAAAAACTCAAGAAAGATATAAAATTTTCTTGGAACAACTCTGATACTGATATTATTAAACAAATTAAATAAAAAATTACAGATATTCCTAAAATATATCTTATTAAACAAGGAGATTTATTAATTTTAGAAATAGACGCTAATGAAGAACACTGAGGATGTGTTTTAAAAGCAAAAACCTTTCATCAAAAAGATGAATTGATTTGTGATTATAATTCTGAAAAATTCAAACCAAATGAAATCAAGTATATTATTTTTGAAAAAGAACTATTAGCTATTAAAAGTGTTGTTTCTCGTTTTCATATATTTTTAGCCCCATAAAATTTTGTAATTAGAGTTGATAATCAATTAGTTCGTATTTTTTAAAAAATAAAAAACTCTTTGATAATCTTAAATGAATAAAATGGTATAAATTTTTTATGCCAGTACAATTTTACTATTGAATTTATTAATGGAAATAAAATTTTTTTTGCAGATTATCTGAGCAAACCTAATGGATCAAGGGAAAAAACCTCAGCAAGAAGGTTAGAGGGTTATTCAAAAGAAGCAAACTGAAAAGGTTTCTTCTTTTTTTTCTTCAACTTCAAACTATCTTCAAAATAATCCTATTTCAGGATTATTCATTTACCAACCTTATGGATATTTACCTCATCAGCTTCTATAAAAGCCATTTTACCATAAGAGATTTTAACTAGATTTCTTTCAAAATGCTCAAGATCCAAACCCATGTACCCTTATGTCTTATTCTTAAATTGTTTTATCTGCAGAACAAGCCTTTCAAGAAGTCCAAGTTTCTAATCCATAAATCAAAGACTTCTATAATTTTGAACTTTAACCAGAAGTCTATGATTTGATAAATAATATTTGAAAATCTCCTCTCTCTCAAAATAAAACCCAATTTAGAAAAAGGATGACCAAATTAGTTGAATTTTTGGTTAATCAAGCCAAAAAATTTCAAGACTTTCAAGAAGCAGCTTTTCAGAGTCTTTTTTTCATATAATTTGTTAAAATAACAAGATATAGATTTCTTTGCTTTGGAAGAAAATCAATATTCAATACAAGAAATAAATAATTTCTTATCCTTTTGTGAGTATTTTGAATCCCAAAGTTTTCTAAAAATATGAAAATTATATCATATATTTCTCTTTGAAAAAGCTGTAGTATTCCTAACTAAGGAATTATTTCAGCAAATTAACTTACACATCCTTTAACAAACAGAAAAACTATTAGTTGACAAATTTTTTTATTTTTATTTTGCCACTTATAATTTTACCATAACATTAGGAGACCAAATCCCCAAACTTAAATTCAGATTAAATCATGATTTTTTCAATATAACCAGTATCAAGTTAGGAATTGTTGGAGAAATACTAGTTCAAAAATTTTCCTTTGAACTAATTAGAGGCTTCTTTGCCTTTATTAAACACCATTTTCACAAAATGACCAAATATGTTAAACACTTTTTCTATTCCTCTTCACATAACCAGTCATCTTGGAGTCTTTCAACGAGAAAGATTCGATCAACCCTATCAAATATGGGAAGCACAAAAGATCTGTTCTGGCAATCTATTGGAACCACTAATGGATGCTTTAGAAAATCCAGATGACTTAAACAAAGTCATTTAAAATTACTAAAATCCCTTTCAATATCAATTTAAAATAGAAATTTCACTGATGGAAAAGGCAAAAACCTTACTTGATATTGCCACTAGGTAAAGTTTTCCAAAAATTTATGCATGGATTGATGGCAAAATAGTTTTTGACTTAAAATACCATGCTTCACATGAAGATTTCAAAATTGAATAAGAACTAGAAGCTTTGAAACTACTGTATCAATTTTTAGAAATAAAAGATCTTGACCATCCACAAGAAATTCTCTATCAATACCAAAAAGGATGGCAAATGTGAAACAAATTTAGATCAATATCTCCTTTATCTTATAACCTTGAGGATGAAGAGCTTCATAATATGAATAATAAATTCGATGGATAAGCTATTCTACACCAGAATAAGACTATTCCTAAAGCTGTCGATAGAAACAAATAAAAATGTCTGAAGGCTAAAATTAACCAATAAAAGTCATTGTAGTAGTTATTGTAACAGAACACGATAGCAGTCACTGTAGCAAACAAATTTAAATCTTCTACAGTGTAAAGATAAATGATCAGACATTATTTTAAACTTTTTCCTTTTATAAATAGAGCTTGGATTTCTCTAGAGGGCAGAGGCTTCCTTCAAAACTTCTTTTATTTTTCTTTATCCTAGTTTCCATTCTTAGTTTGTCTACGTTTTTTCTCTTTAACCTACTGCTCTTAGTTTGTCTACTTTTTTTTTTAACCTACCTCTTATCCTTGTTCATACTCTTTCCTTTTCTTTCTTTTTCTTATATCTTGTAAATGGTATCAGAGCTTTGTGAGTATAATAGATTGTGTAAATAAGCAATATCTTAGTAGTGTTTCTACTACAGTGACTGCTATAGTGGTTTTGTCGACTGGTCTTGGGCTCCAGACATATTATGAAATTTTTACAAAACATGATTTAGAGAATTATTTTGACTTTGAATTTCTTTTTCATTTTCATTATTAGGTAAAAGCCATCCTGTTGGGATAGATAAATCACGAATATCCATAAATTTAGGTTTGATTTTTTATTCAAATTTTTATGATTTAAAAATTTCAATCAATTTAAGATCTATATTTTTGATAGATACTGTAGTAGTATTTGTAAACTTGTAAATAGTAATCCAATTTATGGAAAGATCATGAGAGTGTATATTTAGATCATAATTTTTTGTTTTGTACGAAGATAAAGACTTTTTTCTATTAAAAGATCAAATATAGAAAGAAAATAATTTGGTTTAACTTTGAAAGCAACAAGTCTAGATGCTAAATTAGATTGGATTCCTCCAATTATAGCATTAACTGGATTAGAAAATCTTTGATCCATTAAAACAACTAAAATAGGAATGTCTTTTTTAGATATAAAAATGGATTTTATAGTAAACATAATAATACCAATATGTGCGTATTTTATGTTAAGATATTTTACGAGAAAATAGTTGATTTTTTGTTGAGAAAACAAAAGAATTTTTATTGATCCTTGTTTAGAATCATTAGTTATAGTATCGCTAAATACTTTTTCTATATGGCATTTAAACCATGGTTGAAATATTTTGAAATAATTGGTTTTGTAAATCTCATCTTTTTTTATGAGCTGTATTTGTTTCAATTTTTCTTCATAAATAGTATAAGTTTTTCTCATAATATTCCTTAAAAAAGTCATTTCAAAAAAATCATTTAGCTTCTAATTGTCCTAACAAAGGAAGAAATGTTAAAAATATGATCAAAACTCTTGAGCAACAAGAGCTTTGTATTGTTTATGCAGAAAAAATATCAGATATTGAACAAATTCTTTACGCAATATTTTCTAAAACAAAATCTGATTCTTCTGATAATGAATATATTTTTATGGTCAATGAAGCTACATCTAACTAGGATACAACTTTTGTAAAATCTACATCTTCAACAAAACCTATTCAAGAAGAAACCATTTCTTTAAGGAATATTATGAGAAAAACTCATACTATTTTTGAAGAAAAATTGAAATAGATATAGCTCATAAAAAAAGATGATATTTACAAAATCAATTATTTCAAAATATTTCACCCATGGTTTAAACCCATATAAAAAAAGTATCTGGTGATACTATAGCTAATGATTCTAAACAAGAATCAATAGAAATTTCTTTGTTTTCCTAATAAAAAATCAATTATTTTCTTGCAAAATATCCTAAGATAAAATATGCACATATTGGTATTATTATGATTACTATAAAACTCTTTTTTATATCTGGAAAAGACATTCCTATTTTACCTGTTTTAATGGATCAAAGATTTTCTAATCTAGTTAATGTTGCAATTAGAGGAATCCAATCCAATTTAGCATTTGGACTTGTTGCTTTCAAAGTTAAACCAAATTATTTTCTTTCTATATTTGATTCTTTAATAGAAAAAAGTCTTTGTCTTTATATCAGAACATAAAATTCTGATATAAATATATGCTCTCATGATCTTTCCATAAATTGGACTACTATATACAAGTTTACAAATACTACTACAATATCTATAAAAAAGATAGATCCTAAATTGATTGAAGTTTTTTAGCCATAAAAATTTGAATCAAAAACCAAACCTAAATTTATAGATATTGATGATTTATTTATCCCAACAAGATGGCTTTTACCTAGTACTGAAAATGAAGAAGAAATTAAGAGTTAAAACAATTCTCTAGAATTCTTTTAATTAGGAAAAAATATTTATTTAAAAAATACTAGTACTTATAATCCAAATCTTAGATTAGTACTGCCTACATCATTTTCTAATTAACAAGATGATTTAGAAAGCTTCAGTAGTCAATAATCCTTTGCTACTCCATATAGAAATTCTTTTTCTAGATTTCAAGCCAATAGTACAACAAGTACTCAAATTCCTATCTTTCTTGAAGATAACCATTCTCAAACATTGCAATATCAAATAGTGAAATTTGTTTGCAATCTGTATCTTCTTCTAGAAAAGCTAGAATTGAAGAAACAAAATCCTTAATTTTAAAAACTGATTTTATAAGTTTTAGCAATACAAAAGCAAACAATTTTTTTTTTAACTTTTATTAAAGGAACATTTCATTTTCAAAATTATAAACCCTATTCTTTACATATTCTATTAGACACAAGAGCAACCATTTCCAATTGTCATAGTAATTCACTTTCATTAAACAAATGGAAACCAATGAAACCTCCTATAATAGTAATAGGAATAGAAGGAAAAGAAACCCTTATAGGATACAAGGTAAAAAATATCCCTGTATATTTCAATAACACTAAATTTATAATTCCAAAGATACTTTGCTTTCCTCATATTAGGAAACAACTTTTTTGTAAAATATTTACCGTTTTATATTTACCCTAATAATATTTTTCTTACAATGGATAATCAATCCATTAAAATTGATTTAGTAAAAGAACCTCAAAATATCTATGATAAAAATTTTCAACCAGAAATAATGAATTCTCAAATCAAGCTAATTAGTGAAAAACACTGGTTATATACAGTTTTAAGAGAAAATTTCTGTGAAGAACCTTTAAAAGTATGGGTAATAAGTCCTAGTTTTTGTTTTCTCAAACTTATAGATCCTTTTAAAATCATTAGAGTAAAACTTATGATTTATACCAAATAGGATATAGATAAATTTGAAATTCAAATTTCTGAACTTCTTTTAAAAGGATTAATTGAAACAATAACTAGCCCTCATTAAAACCCTGCATTTTTAGTAAAAAACCATGTAAAAATCAAAAGAGGAAAACCTTGACTAGTAATCAACAATAAGAGGTTAAATCAAAATTTGGTTTTTGACAAATATTACATCCATCAAAAATATATTTTGCTAAATTTAGCAAAAAATACTACATATTTTTTAAAATTTGATTGTAAATTAGGTTTTGGTAGATTAAGCTAAAAGAAGAGTCAAAAGCATTGATTGCTTTTAATGCACCAACATGATAATATTAATGGACTGTAATGCCATTTGGACTTTGCAATGCTCCTTAGATTTTTCAATGATAGATGGATAAAATTTTTGCAAAACATAAAAAATTTTGTTGTGTTTATATTGATGACATTTTGGTTTTTTCAAAAAATCTTGATGATTATCGAAAACATT